TACCGTTTATAGGTGATAAATGCGCTTGGGCGGGCGCAGTTCGACAATTATTCCGGGCTCTTCCCTCTAGTAAGCTTTGTGTTACCATATACAACGTTGCTGCTAGAAAGTTTTCTGTCTCGGCACCGAGTTTACGAGGGGCGACATGAGACAGGACCATTGGATGGAATGCATTCTGCCGTATAATTATATCAACGAGAAGATCTACCTGTTAATGTGGATCTGGTTTGCGTTGGTACGTAATTTGGTTCTTTTGGATTAGGGATGGGGAAACAAATTGGCTCAACTAGAAAAACTACAAAAAATTTGTCAGAAAATCAATTTTTTGTATTTTTTGATGAAAACATGCAAAGTTTTACCCTTGGGAATAGTAAAAACAGTTCGGAACACTTCCGCTATCTATATTTTAAAAAACTTCGATCCTAAGAAAAAACTTTTTACCCCCGACAATGCGAAAGAACCGTATCAGCATTTTTAGCTATCTGTGATGTCAGCCGTTAGTCTCTGCAGTTGGCTCGCAACGTTGCTCTGCGACACTTCTTCGGCGGCCGTTGTTGAGATGATCAAGGTGGGGGATATTTTGGCCTAAATTGACGTTGGATTCAGCAATATCCGGCTACTGATGAATTGATCCTTTATGGAGTGCAAACCAGCAACTACACTCGCCGATTGCCTGCACCCTTATTGAAGAATCTCCTACGCGACTTCGACTCGGTATTAATATGTTCTCATTACCAATGTCTTTTTGCAGTTTTGTTCCTGGGATACCCGGATGTTCTTCAGGCTGGTATCAGACCATTTGGGTCCGATCATCCCATCCGAATTGGCCATCATTTTACTTGAATTGTAAGGCTGTTCCTTTTGTGAGATTTTGAGCCTTTAGTTATGCTGCCAAACGCGAGTACAGCGAAATGCTCAGCGACGAATTAGAAACATCGACGGGTTGCCTGACGGATTTCCGCAAAGGACATGCAAGCGAAATGTCGTCTGCGTCGGCACAAGGCGCCGATGAACAGAAGCCGATCACTATAAGGGTAAGCCTTCTCTTTGCTTCGACTCGAGATATAGATAACGAGCCCTCCGCCCGCCTACTCCAGGACAGTGCCAGATCCCGAGGAGCCCAGCAAAGATAACCTCGTCTGACAGTCGACATTTCCCGATTTTCGATTTCCCTCGACGATATGTTTCCTCGCTTCATCATTCCTTTTCGCTTTTCTTTTTGTCTTGTTGCAGCACTCGCGCATGATCTCTAGAATTTATTGCTTAATTGTTGGCTCGGTTCATCGTTTCTGTGATGTTTGTCAAGGACAGCATAAATAATTTCTTAGTTTGCACACGTGCATCGGTACTTTGAGCATGGGGAATGTCAGAGGATGCAATCGTGAGACGGCAGGATAGTCAGGAACTGGACGGAGACTGAACTGCTAGTTGGAGGCTTTGTCGTCGCCGCCCGGTTTGGCAGAGTTGAAGTACGCTTGCGGCTCGGTGCCTGTCCGAGCCTAACTTGTTGATCACGCGCCTAAAAGGCGAGACTAGAAACGTAGTACATTACTTGAGCTGTTTATAAAGCCAACCGAGCGGGCGAGACGATTCCTACAGGGATGGATTACCCGCGGTTTTTGACGGCTTTGCGCCATTCGACAGATCGCTGACCACGCTCTCATTTGTCTGGGCGAGAGGCCTAACAGAAATAATGTAGCCACGACCAGCTGAAGCATACGCGCCAGGGAATATTAACTTTGTGAAGCCGTACACCCGCGGCAGTATTGAAAAGCGATGCAAAACTACATTTATGTGCGTAAAACAATAGTGCCCCACACCAGCCATTGCATGCAACAAAACCCCTTCAATTGGTAAGTGAAAACCCTTTATTACAAAATCATGCACAAATTGCGAAAGTACAAAGCAAAAGCACGTTAGAGTGCGAATTCACAGTAAATTCCTCCTCTCATTATGGGCATCCCTGCTCGTCGAAGCCGTTGCCGCAGTCGACCGTCCCATCGCAAAGCTTATCCATCGTGATGCAAGTGCCGTCGTCGCAGAGGTTCTTGCCGGTGCCCGAGCATTTGTAACAGTTGCAATCCTACAACAAATTAGAGGTATTTGTACAACAAATACCTGTTCGTCAGATCCATCGGTGCAATCCTTGACGCCATCGCAAATCTTGCGGGCGGGGAGGCATTTCCCCTCCGCTTTGCACATCTAAAAACCGTCGGTAAAAGCCAAGACGAAGAGGCATACCCTGGCAGAACCGCTGCATTCATCGATATCCTTGCAATCTTTTTCGTCTTCGCCGCCTGGGCAGTCCCGCACGCCGTCGCAAATAACATCTTGTGGAAGGCACATGGTTAGGGTCGAGTTCTTCAGTGGACACGGGAATTCGTTTTCTTTGCAGGCGTCACCTAAGCAAGCAATATTAAACACGCAGCACGTTCTTACGACAAAATTCCTCCTCGTCCCATCGATCCGGGCAATGTGCGATGCCGTCGCAGATCTGCTCCGGGGTCAAGCAGATCATTCCACGGATGTTGCGGAGCATAGTGTTGGGGCAGCCATAACGAGTGTTGCATTCTAAAACAAAATTAAACACCTAACCCGATCAGCCAACTTTTGCAAGCAGTCTCATCGGAGCTGTCCGCACAATCCGGGACACCGTCACAGCGCCGGGTCGACGCGATTACTTCTTTGGGGTTGGTGGTGCAGCTGAACCCATAGCCAAGGCAAGAAGAGACGTTCGGGTTCCTGGGGATGCTGGATTCGAGTTGTTGACCCCCGTCGTCAGCCATCTTTGGCCAAACGATCGCGCCCGCTCTCGCATCCAGAGACGCCTAAACGTTTGTAAAAGTTAACAAACAAAACACTTGCCAGAACAGCTTGGCCTCGCATTGTCAAAGGTTGCTGCTCGCCGGGTGCGACGAGAACGAACAACACCACCGCAAGGACTATGAGGACACCGATGAGTGCCAGGAAGAACAGGACGACGAGGAAGGTGGGTAGGCGTCCACAAGACTTGGCATACCAGCTTTGAAGACTTTCTACTGCATCATCGTACCGTTCAGCAAGAGATCTAAAGCAAAGTTAAGACCCGAAGACACAATCAACCTCGGAGGAAGCGAACTCTGCCCATAAATCGGAGCGATGTCGCCATCGTGTAGGGTTTTCGAGCCGTGGAGTGATTCGAGTTGATGGGAGAGTGGCGAACCCCGGGCATCGTTGCGCGTAACTTCCATCGAGATGGGATCATAGCGCCCTTTTGTTCCGCTGTCGTCCATATCCAATGGGATCGCCATCCCGGGTCTAAAACACAGATTGAAATGATAAAAGCAGAACACAAGGAAAGTCAAAAGACCGGAAATAACTGATCGAAAAAGATGGCAGTTTGATCATAGGACCCTTGTTGAATAATTTTGACGGAGCCATTCGAGAGGAAAAGTATGTAATATTTTGTTGTGCGTCCAAAACCCAGTCCAAAGTCCAAAAGAAAGCGCTTGAGTGTGAAATGCAATAATTTTAGGCAACAAATGCTACACAGATACTTTGGTTCAAGTAGCAATTTTCAGCAAACCAATTGACCTACGGTAAGAAGATGGCAAGACGCCTCGGATCAAAAGAATTCGAGTTTGGAAAAAGCGGGAAGCCGCATCTTCCTTTGTAGTTACGGTAGCGCGCGTTATAGAAATTCTGTAAATGTAGTCAGTCGTAGCGCACCGTAGCTGGGTTCCGCCGCGCATCCCTTTGTCGACTATCGTAACGGAGATTCTCGACTCTTTCGATCTCGATCGGATTTATCTCTAAATTTTTTGAAAGAATTTTGGGAAATCTATTGCTTTTCTGATATCTCATTTCTGAAAATTGGCAACAGCCGTTTTTTTCCTAGCTATAGCCTCGTTCCATTGATTCTCAAAAAGGCGCGCAAGCTAAGCTCACAAAAAAACTAAACCTATCGTCTTCCGTTTCTTTTCTTTCACTTCCTTCCGTGTTCTACAAGTCTCCGTTTAGAACCGCCAACAAGAAGCCGGCCACAATGACCGAGGAGGCCGACAAGGAATACATCAAGCTGAAGGTCGTCGGCCAAGATTCAAATGAAGTGCACTTCCGCGTCAAGTTCGGCACATCGATGGCCAAACTGAAGAAGTCTTACGCGGAAAGGACAGGCACCGCCGTCAACTCGTTGCGGTGAGTTTTGTGAGCGTTCTCTTGTTGTGTAGTTTCGAAATTCTGGCTCGCGGTGCCGCATTTCCTGCGCAGTGTTCAATTCTTTTTTTTAGCTTCCTCTTCGACGGCCGCCGAATCAACGACGAGGATACACCAAAGAGCATGGAAATGGAAAACGATGACGTCATTGAGGTATATTTTCTCCGGTTTCCCGCAGCATTATATGAATTTGTGGGATTCGTTGACGGTACTCTCCTAAAATGAATTAATATTTGCTCTGATAGAAAGTGTCCTCTGCTATCTAATTTGACGCTGAGTCCGTTTCTCTGACCTTTATTTACTGATTTGAACAAAAAACGGAAATTTTTTGGGAGAGTACTCTAACTGAATCATTTTGATCCGTGTTATTGATATGTTTTTCAGGTGTACGCCGAGCAGCTTGGAGGTGCCTCTTCGTAAGCCCAGAAGCCAAGCCAAGCCAGTCCAAGGTCTTCGGGCTTCCACTTCCATCATGGCCCCAAACTCGACAACATGCCTACCCTCTTGACCGTCGTTCGTAAATCTCCCCATGACTCATTCGTCCATTTATTTACATTTCCCCGAAATATATGTTTTCTTCACCACTTTGTTCTTATAGCGCAACAATAAAAGCTCACACTGTTTTTGAACGGACGATGCATACGATTCGGCAGTTACAGAGAGGACAGGATTCATTGATACTTGGAACATTGTTTCTTTGCGGATAAGTCGGAATTGAAGTGTGTAGAAATACAGGTGTATAAAAATGACTTCGTCGTGCGCTTTAGGGAACTTGAAGGCCTTCTAGACTGAACCGTATTTATTCAATGGTCGGCTTGCTTATATGTGGTGACGGGGCTGATTTGCATCTTCGTATCGAGGCGTCTCCCACGCTTGGCATTGGTATTCGCTCGGGCGGTTCCCCTGTTTCCCACTGTACGATTTCCGCGGGTCGTGTTCACGACAAAGTGCATTTGATGATGATATTTTTATAGCACGGCCATATCATTTGTCGAAAATCAAAATCGTGCCGGAGTCAAGATCCCAGATTTCGAAGGCGAGGAGGAAGTCTGAAAGCGTCGGCTTTTCAAGCGGGATGCCAAAAATTCCGCAATACTGTAACGGACGAAGAAGCGCGAGAATCGACCCCTCTGATCGGCTAGGTCTAGGCGGAGATGCAAGGCGAAAAGGACCCCCTGTTTTTGCTGGAGTTGACGCAACTCTGAACCAAAACTGACGTTCTATTATCAGTAGAGGCCTTGTCGATGGGCAGGGTCGATTTTCTCGCTTTATAACCCCGTGAAAAGAGGCTACCTGAACTGCTTGTTGACGAGTTGCAACTCGTGCAACTCTTCGATACCGAGCTGATCGATCACGGCCGCTGTCATGGCCTGATTCATCCGAGTGGCGGCAAACATCAGGGTTTTCCTTAAAAAAACGATATATGACTTACAAGGAGGCATTTTTTGACGGCAGCGAGCTTCCAGCTGGGACTAAAGTGGCGACGGGGGGGGACAACACGTCGAGACGGGAGACAAAATTCTCTAATGATTGCCATGCGATGAAGAACCCGATGCCCTGCGGCGATCTTTTCCCATTTGTGTCGACATGAATCCCCCGCTGTTAGTAATGCGTTTGAAGGGCGGGGGTCAGGGAGAATGCGGGAAAAGAGGGTATCTTTTCGCGTGGAGACACCAGAGCCCGCACTCAACTATTGCTCTAATCATTGCGTTGCGGGAACATTGGCGGAATATTCCGGGAAACATTGCGGGAAAGGAGCCGCTTTCCGTCTCATCTAAATTCCGGGACAGTGGCTCCCGGAATGGTTTCCCGCAATGTAGATGAAACGCATTCCGGGAATCGGAGGCGCATTCCCGGAATGCTGCCCCCGAATGGTTCCCGGAATATCCCGGAGTGTCCCGGAATCATGGTGGCGTTAAAATCCTAAATTCTAAATTGGATACGGCCCGGGTCTATATTATGAAAATTTCGAATATTTGATTTTTGGTCAAAAATGTATGAAACATTACCAAAAAGTACAAAATTAAAATTTTTGATTATTTTCTAAGTTGTTAGTCTTTTTTTTGGTAGTCAGCAACTTCTAAAAACACCATAAAAATACCCGACAATTCGAGAAATCTTTGTTAGTTAGAGATAGGCTAGATAGTTTCCCCCGCTACAGCCCCCCCCCGCTGTCAGAACAGAACCGGAAAACAGTTTTGGTCGGAATCAGCGACAAAATTCTTCACAATCAGGGTTTGCTCCCAGCTTGAAGCTCCGTTGTCACTAAAAAACGTCTCCTTGCAGTTTTTAGAAGAGCTCTGATGTTTGCCGCTGGTCGAATGAATTCGGTTTTGACAGCGGCCGTGATCGATCAGCTCGGTATCGGAGAATTGCACAACTTGCGGCGCGTCAGCAAGGAGTTCAGGTAGATGCTCCTTCGCGTAGCAAATTTCGTGTTTTTTTTGATTCATCGTCCCACCGTTCATTGCATTGATAGGAAATTGGTGAACGAACGCGGACTGATGCCAAGAAAAGTAAACTTTGTGATGATTGATGCCCGTGTACCGGACGTGGATGAAATGGCGGCAGAGGATGAGAAGGTAAAGCTCGAGATTGATGCTTGGAAAATTGTTAATTGTCCATTCATACCCGTGCTAATGAGCAATTCTAGCAGTAACCGGTTTCTAGAGATACTAGCTTTATGAGTTTTCATGTTTTACGGATTAGCCATCTGGCGTTTTAGATTTGGTTGCACGATACGAAGATCCTGATTGTGGATCGTCAGCGGGACAACTGCTATAGAGCGTCTAGCTTTCAAAATATGGTTCGCATCAACAATGAAGAGGACAGGTCAGTTGAAACTTGAGAGAGAGAGAGAGAGGCATTTTGAACTTCTTCACCATTTTTAGGGCATACAATGTGCCATTCTGCAGTTTTATCGAGCTACTACCGCAAATCCGCTCGATCGAAACGCTTGAGATGAACGTATCGACAGATTATGAGCTGGTAACCCTCCAGTTATCTAAATGCCGCCAAAAACGGCCATAACAAAATCAAACACGTGGATATTAATTTAGTTGGAAGGATTCGCGAGCAACCTGGGAATTGACATCAGAGCAATGCAAAGTGACGACCTATTTGAGGTGAGGTAAAGAGGAGAGATGGATGGCAGGAGAGAGAGAGCGCATGAGAGAGTAAGAGAGAGAGCGAGAAATAGTGAGAGAGCGAGAGTGGAGAGAGAGAGGGAGAGAGAGATCGCGAGAATAGTAAGAGAGCGTGGAGAAAGGGAGAGAGAGCGAGAGAGAGAGAGAGCGAGAAATAGTGAGAGAGAGGGAGAGTAGAGAAAGAGAGAGAGCGAGAGAGTGAGAGAGTGAGGGAGATCGAGAGAGAGCGAGAGAGACAGAAAGAATGAGAGAGAGAGAGAGCGAGAGAGAGAGAGTGAGAGAGAGCGAGAGTTAGCACGAGCACCGGCGACATGATTTACACAATTTATTCAGTCGTGAATAACATTTAGCTATCCCCGTTCTTCCAATCGCTATCCGGGATCTACGATTTTTCGCTCCAGGCGACAGACAGCGGCGAATTATTGCGAAAAGTCTTTGCCAATTACGCCAATGGTGTCGATCAGCTGGTTGTTGAAGTCAGTGATTTCCTATTCTTGGTGTCTACAAACATTTACTGGCGAACCACCTGCCAAAAACGCTCGACTGTGCTTCTATGTGGGAAACGTGGTGCGGACCATCAATCCCAGCACGTCGCCAAGAACTTTATTTTTGTCACCACGCATGGTGTTTGTCGACAATTGCGAGCATGGTAGAGGTTCGTTCACAACGGAAATGGCAAAGCTTTAGGCACTTGAGTATCCGCGGGGACCAACCTTTTTTCGACTCAAACTTACAAGCAGACGTTTTTTAGCGTCCACAGAATTTCGTAATAGGAGCAAGCCTATTTTATGCAGAATTTTTCGCTCATCAAAACGTACATTTCAGAACCTGCGAAACGACCATATTTCAAAAGTTATGAAGCTTTAAATTGTCAAATATGCCCAAAATGGCCAACTTCTGCCGTTTTTCGCCCTTTAAAGTGCCATAACTTTCTTATTTTCGTCGTTACGCAGATTCTGAAAACGGGGTTTTAATCAGCGCAAAATTCTGCGTAAAATAGGCTTGGTCCCATTTCCAAACTCCGTGTGCACTAAAAAAACGTCTCCTTTTTTAGTTTGCGTATCCTATAAGCGAGAAAAGCATGCCTCTTTTCTGTAGGACTTCTCGGCCGTCAGGGCGAATTTCCCGCTGATTTTTGGCATGGAGGTGGAGAACCACATTTGTCAGTGAACCAATTTTTTGTTTTCGTAATTTTTTTTATTGAACAATTTTATAATAACTTGAGGTTCTCTTAAGCTGGTTCTAAAAGGAAAAATTCGGTCTCCACGCGAAAGTACTAACTAAGCGTTTTACCTGCTGGAACGGGGGCTCGGATTTTGAAAAGCTTTTTTTGGTTAAAAAACCAGGCGATAAGATTTATTAGATATCTTGTTGTCCGGCCCGTCCATCGCGCCCTAGGCTGCTGCACAAGATCTACGTTGACCTGGTCGTCGACAATGCTGGCGCCGACACCGAGTTGGTGAGGGTTCTCATTAGAGAGATCGAGAGAGATCCAGGGAGAGAGATAGATAGAGAGAGAGCGAGAGAGCATGAGTGTGAGTGAGAGAGAGAGAGCTAGAAATAGTGAGAGAAAGTGGAGAACGGGATAGAGAGACAGAGAGACAGAGAGAGAGAGAGAGAGAGAGAAGAGAGAGAGAGAGAGAGAGAGAGAGAGAGAGAGAGAGAGAGAGAAGAGAGAGAGAGACGAATCTTTCTTTTTCAGGAGAATTTCAAGAAGGTTGTCGAGAGTGGCAAAGATCGGCGTTTGGAATACCTTGAGGAAACGGATCCAGATGCAAAACAGTGCCGAAAATGGATTGCCGCCAGCGCTGAGGTACGTCAGCTCGTGGCAAATACGGAGGAGAGGGGCGGGCTTACGCGTGTTTTGACGCGTGGCGCAACTATAGCTGCCGAGGTCTACAATATGATTTTAGGGTCGGCTCGATCATCCCGTCCATCGTTATCTTCGCCTTTCTACCACTAGCAAAGGCATGTTTCCGGCGGTGAATGTTGTTTGGAATCTGGACAAAATGTCCTCAAAAAGGCCTTGGAAGGCTTTTAAAGGACTGAAAAGCGAGAGTTGATTGTCTCTCGACTAGGCCAAACAGTTACGCGACAACCCTAAGCACACGCCAAACGCCATTTTTGGTTTGAGGGACATGTCGAGTTCGCTTGCTGCCCCATCTTACAGGGTCTACCAAAAAATTGTTCCCAACCTTGAGCTCTAATAACTTTTGATAGAGGAATAATCGACCATGTGTTACCGTCTCAGGTAGACCTCCCGAACGGCCTAATTTTTGGCGCGTAATTAGCTGCTAGTCGTAGCTATGTACACGTAAAATATTAGATTTATTGAGCAAGGAACAGTTGGTTAAAATGTCTTTTAATAAATTCAAGATTAAACTTTGACGCGTCAGAAAACTCGATACATACCTTCACATATGCTGATATTTTGCCAAGGACTGGCTACAACCTACATCTATTTACACTCCAAAAATTAGGTCGATCCCACCACTAGAACACCAAAAAACATTAACGCACGGTTTCCGGGCCGCACAGTATTCGCATGTCCTTTGTATGTTTACGTCGCCGAAAATCGAAAAAAATGAAGTTGGGGTTTTTCCTCTTTGCTGACATATTTAAACATTCCGACATGGTAACGCGTGGTCAATTTTTCCTTTATCAAAAGGTATAATAGCCCAAAGTTGGGAACAATTTTTTGGGACACCCTGTAATGTTCGCGGATTTTTGGCTTCTGCTCTAAAAAAAGCGGCACTTTCAGATTTCCTGGTGGCATTAGAATTGAGGGGGATGAAAGCAGAAATGGAGGCAACGGATGTCACTGGAACTATCTGGATTTTCGACAAATAAGATGTTCCATTTTGATTAAGTTTAAGACAGACAGTTGTGACGAATAAAGATAATGTTAATCGAGAATTCTCAATCACTGGCACTGCCCAAAAAATGCTGACAAGGCAATTTCGGCGGACCTCATTTGTGCCGTAAAATCGGTCGTTTCCGGGCCGCGGAGTTGATGTTAAAGGCGAATTCCAACCATAGTCCCGACGTTCAAAATCCCGAGAGTCATAATCCCGACAGCCAAAATCCCGACAGCCGAAATCCCGACAGCCATTTTTTGATGGCATGCTATAACGCGCTCCACGTGGGTTACTGTAAGAAACCGAATATCATTGTTAATTTAACTTAAGATTTTCTTACGTAGTTGCACAATTAAATTCAGTTAAATTAAGTTTTTATACGATTAAAACAGCCTCTAGAAAACTTAACTCGCAGGGCGTTAAAGGGATGCCGACGGCATAGTCATTCGGTTACGCGCTGGAAAGAAAATGTCTCTGCGCCTCTCCCATGGGCGCGCTCTCTCCCCTGTTGGCTACTTGCCAATTTGTTGATGGGGGGGATCGACAGATGCCGTCGGCAGCCCTTTAAATAGAGGAGGGCGTTATTTAGAGGAGGGCGTTATTTACAAGTACCGTGGCCGGAGGGGTGCGTTAAATACAGGAGGGCGTCAAAGGGGGTTAAATACGGGTTGCCCGCCACTTTTGAACGAGCGCGTAATGCATACCTTTCGAATCTTTCCGGTGGCCGTCACCGGGCCGGCACTTTTGAGTGTGTAGTCTGAAATATTACAAAAATCCTATCCTGCAGTCCGCGTCATAATGATAGGTTCACCCCATTTTATGACAGCTTGTTAATCTAGAATAAGTTTCGGATAAAACTGGCGTTGCAAAAGATAGAGTATAGCTCAAAACCTTAGGCCATTATCCATTTGGCTAGAAAGTGCTTCTAGATTTTCAAGGAATTTTATTTTTAAAAAAGCTTACTGGAACCGGCATCATAAAGATAGGTTCACTCCGAATTTTTCTACAAAAATCATGCATTCGGATTTTATATTTTTTTTCAATAAAGTAGCATTTAAGTGTACATGAGTTACCTACACTTGGTTTGACTCGAAAGGTTTCAGGGAATTTTTTGCAAAAGTCTATTTTAACTTTTGACCTTCTTCCCGAAACGATTCAGGCCGAGGGTTATAAAATGACATATCACATGTCCAGAATGGAGCTATCTACGAATCTGGCCAGCCTCCCAAAATCTCGGCGACAGAACTTTCGTTCCAACCTGATACAAAATTCTCAAATGATTGCCACGCGATAAAGAACCCGATGCCCTGCCGCGATCTTTTCACATTTGTGTCGACATGAATCCCCCCCTGTTAGTAATGCGTTTGAAGGGCCGGGGGTCAGGAAGAATGCGGGAAATGGAGGGTATCTTTTCGCTTAGAGACACCAGAGCCCGGGCTCAACTATTCCGCGAATCATTCTGGGAACGCATTGCGGGAACATTGGCGGAATATTCCGCGAAACATTGCGGAAAAGGAGCCGCTTTCCAGCAATGCCGTTTTTTAACATTTTTCGAAATATTTGAAATTTTTTTGATTATTTTCGAAGTTTTTAGTCTTTTTTAGTAGTCAACAACTTCTAAAAACACCATAAAAATACCCGACAATTCGAGAAATCTTTGCTAGGTAGAGATAGGCTAGATAGCTTCCCCCGCTACAGCCACCCCCCCGCTGTCAGAACAGAACCGGAAAACAGTGTCGGTCGGAATCAGCGACAAAATTCTTCACAATCAGGGTTTGCTCCCAGCTCGAAGCTCCGTTGGCACTAAAAAACGTCTCCTTGCAGTTTTTAGAAGAGCTCTGATGTTTCCCGCTGGTCGAATGAATTCGGTTTTGACAGCGGCCGTGATCGATCAGCTCGGGATTGAAGAATTGCTCGAGTTGCAACTCGTCAACAAGCAGTTCAGGTACAGTACTGGCCAAAATTCTATCATATTTCTGTTTTTAGGTTATAACCTCACAGTACTCTGATGGCTTTTGTTCAAATTTACCCACGATGTTGGTTGATGTGTAATACACTTGCTGTAATGTTTTCGTAATTTTTGGATTTAGCCTCGGTGCGTACGGTAAGATTTTGTTGAGCAAATCATAGGGTCCAAAAATTAACTTTTTTTTCAAGGAAATTCGAGATTTCGAAAAATGTTCAGCGTTTTGAGTATGTTTGAAAATCCCCTACTGTAGCGATTTCGTGAAATTTGGCAGTCGGGAAGAGCCTTTTTGGGTACCTGGAAGATGGGGCTTTGACCCCTGGCGGACCTTGTCGGAGGTCCCCCTTAACATTACCCCCGCGCGACCAACTCCCAGGGCCGATTAGAGTCACTTCCCGGCTCCCAAATTTTACGAAATTGCTACAGTAGGGGTTTTCGACCACGCTGAACACGCCGGACATCTTTTCGAAATCTAAAAATTCCTTGAAAAAAAAGATAATTTCTGGACCCTATGATTTGCTGGACAAAAGGTTACCGTACGCACCGAGGCTAAATCCAAAAATTACGAAAAATTACAGCAAGTGTATTACACATCAACCAACATCGTGTGTAAATTTGAACAAAAACCATCAGAATACTGTGAGGTTATAACCTAAAAACAGAAATATGATAGAATTTTGGCCAGTACTGTAGATGCCTCTTTTCGCGTAGCAAATGTTTTTGATTCATCGTCCCACCGTTCATTGCATTGATAGGAAATTGGTGAACGAACGCGGACTGATGCCAAGAAAAGTAGACTCTGTGATGATTGAGGCCCGTGTACCGA